TACGTTTATTACCTTCACAATATGTTCTGAGAAAAGTGCCAAGATGCTTATGTGTGTTTTTTATAGAATCCATGGTTTCAAGTTGATACGCTGTGAATTGCATCTTTTTAATGCTTAAAAGAGTCAGTGACATATTTTCTTTAAAACATTATTTTGCCTGATCTGCTACAATTTTCTTAATAACTCCATATCTTAGAATCAAGTCATCTACAAAAGCTTTTGCTACTGATTCTGCGCTTTTGCGCTGTAAGGGGTAGGCTTCTACAAATATTGTAAGATTGCACTGTAGTGTCAATATATACCTATTAACGAAATTATCTAACTCCTATGGCCCCAATATAATATCTGAACTAATTCATTCAAAAAATGTATTCGGTGTAGTAGTTATTGTCATTGGTTCTTTATCGTACTTATTAGCGTGTTTTTTAATTTGACACAATTTAATTTTTTTTATAATCAACATCATTTATCACCGCTGGCCAAAAATTATATTTATTCCACTATGTCTACTGGTCATTTCACACACTTCACATATTGTGTTATTAATAATCCCGGTATACTTATATCATTAATCATTTAATTGTACTTGCAAGTAACTTTATATGACCTTCATAAATTTTGTTTTCAAATTTTGAAAATTAAAATTTGTTTTTAATTATAAGGAGTTCTAAAATATTTAGTTGACTACAAAAACTTTCTAAATCTCTACCGCTAACGCTTCTAACTAACTGCTTCAGCACATCAATACAATTTTCACCTGAAGACATTAACTTCATCGTGTCCTATATCGTATATATATATATATATATATATATATATATATATTAATTTGGAATTTTCTACCGTATATATTGAGTCTAAAATGTGTAAAAATGTAAAGTGCTAAGAGCACTCTGTAACAAAGATTTGCCTACGGTAGCTAACCCTAGTACCCTAGTGTAAACCTAGAAAGATGATGATGATGACGAAAGATGTATTTAATGTTGTATGTAACATTATTTAAGCTCATTTGCAACAAATTTGATAATATTTTTATTTCTAAAACATTCTCTCTCTTTGTACAAGCGCAAGGCATTCAATGAATGGGCGAGTCCATAAGATTAGACAAAAGTTATGTGAACTATACAATGAAATGTCATATAATCCTAGCGTCGAATTCAGGGTATATATAAAAATATTTAAAAGAGTGCTCCATAGCCAAGTCTTTGTATTTGAGCAACAACATTAAGACGGCTTCTATTTATTATTATATATTATATAAATATTATTTTATTATAGTGAAACTGGTAAAGTCAACTCTCACAATTCAAACTACCAGTTAAGTTTTAAGCCAACTATCTTCTTTTTTTGGAAAGAGACATATAAGTCGATCGTATAAAGACATTATTTGAACTTCTTAATTTGATAATTTAAATAAAATGGCCAACTTAATATTGAGAACATTTGCGCCAAATACACAGACGTTTTTCATCTTACCGGTGGTAGTCTGTCGGTAACAAACTTAATTGAGCGTACAATTACATTAAAGGAAAATGTAACACCCGTTTATATTCAAGTCTGTATTTCTTTTCGTTAGTTTCGTCACATTTTTTCGGCACAAGGTGAACTGGACTAGAACATTCTGCATCGCACTCTTCGATTATGTCGTTTTCTAACAAATCTTGTATTTGTTTTTTTTTAATTCCGTTTTAAGAGCATGTAGAATTCGATATAGCTTAATATAAACGGGTGTTACATTTTCCTTTAATGTAATTGTACGCTCAATTAAGTTTGTTACCGACAGACTACCACCGGTAAGATGAAAAACGTCTGCGTATTTGGCGCAAATGTTCTCAATATTAAGTTGGCCATTTTATTTAAATTATCCAAATTAAGAAGTTCAAATAATGTCTTTATACGATCGACTTATATGTCTCTTTCCGAAAAAGAAGATAGTAGGCTTAAAACTTAACTTTTTTTTTTCAATTTATTTATCAGATCAAACAAAAATTACATTCCAATATAGGCTTAATAAACATCTAAAAACCACAGAGGTTTACCTTGATGCTAAATAATAAAATTTAAGTAAGCGAATTATGTACAAAACACAGTCTAATTTCAATAGTTAGGTATATGAGTAGATAGAAGGTGTAACAAGTATAAAGACTAAAAAGGTAAGTTAACAACTTAGCTAAAGTCTGAAGTAGCAAGGTAAAAGTAAAAGTAAGAGCTAGGCAGGTAGTACATTATTATTAAGTAGATATAGTATGTAATTATAATTTAGATAGGAAAAAGTTTATGAGTTTAGTTTTAATGTTTTGTTGTGATACTTTTTCGCGTACATCGAAAGGTAAGTTATTTATTAAATGCGGTACCTGATAAGCAGCCGTCCGTTGCCCGTACACATTATTAGCAGTGATATGCCGGAGTCGGTTTTGTGTCATAGCGCGCGTACGTACTGGATGTTCTATATATGATTTTAAACTGTCGCAAAAGAAATATTTTTTTTAATAACATGTAACTGGTAGTTTGAATTGTGAGAGTTGACCTTACCAGTTTCACTATTAATTACACTCCATATCAATTTTATTTTATTAGATGCCGTCTCAATTTTGTTGCTCAAATACAAAGACTTGGTCATGGAGCACTCTTTTAAATATTTTTACATATACCCTGAATTCGATGCTAGGATTATATGACATTTCATTGTATAGTTCACATAACCTTTGTCTAATCTTATGGACTCACCCATTCATTGAATGCCTTGCGCTTGTACAAAGAGAATGTTTTAGAAATAAAAATATTATCAAATTTATTTTTGCAAATAAGCTTAGATAATGTTCCATACACCATTACATACATCTTTCGTCATCATAATCATCTTTCTAGGTTTACATATTTAATCATCCTTCAGGGTTAGCTACCGTGGGCAAATCTTTGTTACAGAGTGCTCGAGATATCTCAAGCACTCGAGCGGCCTTCAGCACGTCAAGCAGATTCTGTACGACAACAAGTTTCGGGTCCGCGCCTATGTTACAGAGACCGAGTGAAGCCGGCCACAGTCGACCGTATGCCTGCTGTTCTACCGTATGTCAGAGATATCAAAGACAAGATTGGCTACATCTTGAAGCGAGCTTCTGAAGCTACTGGCGCTGAAGAAGATTAGTCAGTTCTAACTATGCGTCAAGTGTCACATCCCTCTTCAAGATGCAGGAGTGTACAAGTTTGATTGTGAATGTAGTATCTCATATGTAGGGCAAACAAAAAGATTAATTAGAACCTGTGTAAAAGAACATATAGCTGACGTGAAGCACCCACGTTCCGGGAAGTCTGCAGTTTATGATCATATCTTAGACGGCTCATGCCATTACACCAGATTTAATAGATCACAGTTCCTCGCGAAAGAACATCGATTCCAAGCAATAATGATACGTGAGGATTTTGAAATCAAAAATGATCCTCATTTCAATAGAGAAGGAGAGTGGGTACTACTAGGTGGTAGGTGCTTGGATTAATTACAATCTCTCAAACACCAAGTGGCTAAATTTAACTCATAAGAACTTACATTTAGAGACTACTTTTCTATAAAGAAGTTTTCCAATCCCAAAATCCCATGCAGTAGCATGCGCCCGGCAAATCGCGAGCGGTCGCATGCGAGCGAATCACCCACATCACTTAAAACCATTAAAAATTATATTTAGAGATTACTTTTTTTAAGAAAAAAATTGGCATTATAAAATCTATACAAATATCTTTATCCTGTGGTCTAAACAAAAGCCAGGTTTTACTTCAATACAAAAAGATTTAATTGTATCTAAATACCAAAAAAAAAAACATACCAAGCGAGCGAAAGTCGAATTTATAGCAAAATGTAGAATTAGAAGCGAATGTAGAATTCGAATAATATATATATATATATATATATATATATATATATATCATGTTTATTATTTGTGACAGTTGACAGTCGTATTTATATTCTCACTCGTAAGGCCGGTTTCACAATAGATCATATTAGTGTATAGTGAATATGTGTTTAATAATCGCTAGTTTGGGCGCAATACTAAACGTTATATTCTGACATGACTTTGTGATACATCTTGTCCAGTATCTTCTCTCTATTCTCGGTAGCATAAACTTATTTTGATACGGTATCCCGATAGGGCTATCTTATACGATACCTGAAACACTGCGTCCACTCTCTTGTCGAGCACGTGGTCAAGCAGCACTTAAAATTGCAGGGAACAACTTCATTGATGCCAGCGGGGATCGCACCTGGGTTGTTTGCGTACTGTTCAATTTAAGAATACAAAGAGCGCTTAGCACTTGCACTGCCACCGTTCACATAAATATATTGGATTATAAAATGGGTGACCATGGTTAAAACAACTATAAAAGAAATATTCTAATAGCTGTTCTTAAACTTTTGAAGTAAATCATTTAGTAGTTTTCCTCTTTAGCGAAAATGTACTAGAGGAATGATTTAACAACTCGTTATACCTCTTGCAATACAATACTACGAGTATATTATTAGTTTAGAGCAAATCAATTTCAAGGAATCAAGAATGCTAAATGTTGAAAAGACCATTTAACGTCAAATATATAACTAAATTCGTCACAACTTAACAATATGTTTTAACCTTTCTAACATGGAAACAACATGAAAATCCATGATTTAAGATAAGAAAGAGCATTAACGTCACGAAATAACAGTCAAATTAGCATCACACAAATTCCGTCACGAAACTCAAGAGTTTATTTTGAGGAAGTCCAGTCTTTAGTAAATTTCAGAAATCAGTTTGTGATATATGATTTAATTCTTCGCTTTAACAATCTCATCTTGACTAACTTAATCTCATAACACGGAGCGTTAATTTTCTCCAAAAATATTTTGGTGAAACATTTTCTACAGATATTCTTGAAATATAAAATGAGACAAAGAAAGCTCAAATTTATATTTATTCGCAGTTCATTTGTTTCTAATCAGATGATACTGGCAGGTATAATTCAGTAAAAAATATCTAGAACGGATATTTTCTGTCAGTGTCCAGGTAATATGATCCAGATCTGAAAATAAATATATAACATAAGAATATTGATGACCGATTATCATTGGTTGTTTGACTACGATACTACAAATAATTATTCGAAGTCTAGTGATTGGCCATGTCCAATTTATGAACGAAAAACATCTTCAGGATACAGGAAAAATTCTAGTGAAAATTACATTGCAATATAATTAAAATTCTAAAAATAATATAGCGGGCAATTTTTTAAAATAAGTTCCTCATGTCTGTTAGTCTACCTGATGGTAAGTTGTAGTAAGTTGTGTTGGTAATGAAAAAATAACATATTCTCACTAATAGAAATACAATAACACAATCTTTTGTCGTTTAAAACTGTTACTTGTGATCAACTAAAAATAAAATTAATGGGATATTACAATATTAGCGATAATATGGGATGTCCTATACCCTTCAAAACGGAATACAATAGCAATTACTTGGTTGCATTACCCAAAGGGACTCCAGATAGCGAAAAACTCTACATTCTAAGTTCACGGCAGGATACATTTTGTACTGCGTTCATTGTTGAAAATATTTTGTGAAACTGTGGCAAAAAATTTTACATGTTTTTTTTTATTTTATAAATTTATTACAGGATCGTTATTAAACATCGATACGGTTTGATTTACAAAGTATGCGTATTCGTCTAACCGTTTTAATTTTCTTTAGTAGAAGATAATAGTTTTAAATCTGTATTATATAAATGTGATAAAATAATTTTAACCAGTGCCTAAAAATAAACATTAATTTACGATATAAAATTTAAATTACAAACTACCTGTTGGACTAAATTTAATAAAGATATAATTATATATAATTATTTCTTCTAGACAAATGCGAGACGAAAATTCACCACTAGCGTACTTACATACATACATACATATATACGTACTTTCACTGAGAGCCTCCTAAAAGCCTATAGACCTTTAAACGTGTAGACACGTCAAAATTAGTAATTTAAAAACTTAAAAACAACGAACCCTTTATGATAACAATCTTATTGAGAAGTTAAAACACTTACCCAGTTTTAGTTAAAATGTCATTGCCCATATGCAGACTATTTCCATTGCAATTGCTTGATGAAATTTGTCCGGTCGTACACTCACGTCCAACGAGATGGTTATATGTAACGGTTGCAGCGAAAAGCTTCCAAGCGCGATTGTGATCGCATGTATTTGTCACACATCCGGGTTGGGATTTTCCACCATTGGGGTAAAAGTCTGCATTTGCAACCGCTGAGCCGATCCCTAATCCAACGGTTCCTCCGTTAGTGTGAATAGCTTCAACGTAAACACCGTCATTACTGCTTAGGCTATCGGAGTTTGAACTCCATAGAGGGCCAGCAGGATCCAAGCCTGTTTGAACAAACATAGGTTACCAGATAAGAAAACTTTAGTAGAAGAATTTCTAAACAAAAAAAAATTTCATCGTTTTTATTTCAATTTTGATTTAATGGGTTAAATTTCAAACTAAATAGAGTTATTATAATTTATTATACTTACAGATGATTCACGAAATTCAGTTGAGCAACGACGGAAAAATAGAATGGTAAAAGAAAACAATATCAATGCCAGGCGTAATGTAACATTTTGGGGATATTGTTATCTACTTTTTTGGTAGGATAATCCGATCGATAAAGTTAAAAACATTCCTTAAGTCAACCTTTACAAGTTCCATAAATATGGAAATGCACCTGTATCTGCATCATTATTATCCTCAGCTGATGGCCACGCTAATTGATTGTCCCAAATATACCCAAATTTTGCCATAGTTGCCATGCTTGGAAGGTGAGTGGGCAACCGCAGATTTTTACTATTTTAATTTGTTATCAAGAATATCCTGCTGCCCATCTAACCGTTTTACCTTCCCTCAATCGCCTCTAACGAAACTTACGCGATTATATAGAGTAGTAGATTCTTTTACGCCGCGAAAACACGACGAAATCACACCTGCATCAATGTTGGTCAAAAATGTACGTGAAATTGTGTAAATTTGTAAGTCTCTAAATAAATGTGAAAATAAATAAAATATGCAAAAGTTCATTAATAACGTTGGGATAAATACAGACAAATCTCAAACATAAATTTAGATAAATTAAAGTAACAAAGTTCTTCGAAAAATGGGAGAAGTACAGCAAAATATTTTTGTGTCTAACATGACATATGGATTGTTAATTGTTATATATGTATGTACATCGTAGTAAAATGGATCAGTAAGATGAAATAGCAACGGGCGGGCCATGTAGCTCAAAAAAACCAACGATTACTTGGAAATAAAGATTCTCGATTAGCAGCCTAAGTCCCAGTTATCGAGGTATGAAGCGGCCTCCCTACTGATGGATTGAAAATCTGGTAAGAGATATAGGATTACATGAAGGAAGCCTTTGTTCAGCAGTTGACTTGTGATGGACTGCGACGATGATGATAACGATGACGTATATCGTAAGATTAAAGGGTGAGTATTTTTTCAATTACATAGATTGTAAACAAAAGTATCCAACCGTAAGTATAAAAAATGTACTCACCGGTAATTCGGGCTATTCTCCCACCAAGCTCCCTGCCTGCGTTACCAACAAGATGAGCACCCAAACTAAAACCAACCAAGTGCATCGAACTATAAGGTGCTCCGGTTACGCGGTTAAGAAAAGCCATAAACTGCCCAAGGCCACGACCAACAGCGGGCACTCCTCTTACAGCGGTAACATAATCTGAAAGCGCTAAACGCCTCCAATCCAGTACAATGACGTTACAATCACTTTTTCCAAGGTAAGCTGTAAATAATGAAAAATAAAATTATTCCTTTTTCCTTATCCAAATTTGAAGATAATTTAAATAAATTTTATTACAAAATTTAGACACAATAATAATATAACGCCTAGTAGCTGTGGCAGCATATAAGAAACTACAACTCCATATCATCCTGTGAGTGTTGAAAGAGGTGACAGACTGAAACTTAAATGGAAGAAGGGCAGTAGTACCTCCAATAACAACTCAACAGTAACAATAAAACTGCGGTTTGCTAGCCCGCCTGTCAAGCGTAATAAATATGGCAAATATCCCACTCTCCATGAGGAAATATGTGGGGGAAGTGTATGTTCAGCAGTGCACTTTATGAATATAAAATTCTAATAGGAGGTCTTTTTATGATGATTTCACTTCATATTAAAGTTTATTAAGTTTTCAAAAAAAGTTAATTCTTGAATACTCATTACAAATAAATATCTCATTTTGAATTAAAAAAAAATAAAACATTTACTTATGTTCCTAATAAACATTATGTATAAAAATAAATATTATACCATCTCGAATAACTGAATTGACGCTAGTACTCTGCTTGCTGAGCCAACCATGTGCAATAACAACAGTAGGTACATTAGGATTGAAATTGGAGGATGTTACTGAGTAAGCATTATCGATAACTAGCGTTTGAGATGATGTTGGATTTCGCCTGAAAAACATTTTTTTATAGTTTAATCTTATGATAATAACACGGTAAAATAAGCAGGAAAATACAATTTATCACTTATAATCAAATGAAAAAAAAATATAAATTTACAAATGGACATATTAAAATTAATTAGAAAATAAACACAATTTTTGAGTACTGTTTGAGGCATGTGAGTATGGATACATGTGGTGAAGTGAAGGAAAAATGTTGCTTGATAACGTCATTACATAATTAGCACAGATAATAAAGAGAACGAAAGAATTTGCTTAGTATCAGTAAAAGGAAGTTTTGTTTGTCCTTTTCAATGATTTTTTTTAGAAAAATGGTGTTAAACGAGCATACAGTCCACCTGGTAGTAAGTGGATACTGTGAACCATAAATGTCTACATCTATCTTCGATTAAGAATAAAAATGCATATACGTTGTCACTGGTGGCTTATACAAAATACCTCTTTTCCTGTGAAAAATAGTCTCCGGTTCTCAACACTTACCATAAGAAACACCGCAGCATTAAGCTGGTACTGTTAGGGGGTGATCTTAAACCGTTCGAGCCGACTCACTCGTGATACTACCATAATATACTAAGTATTTGACATAGTTTAAATAAGTTTAGACCTGTGACAAACATTGTGTCATTCACATTTAAAACATAACATAATTTAATTTCGCTAAAAACGTAGAAAACTAAAGAACAATTACATCTAGATACATGAAGGTTTGTCAGTCAAGTTGAAAAATCGGTGTAATAACACAAATGATTCCAAACTCTCAACCATAATTTAAAAACCATAAAGCCTATACATTTGTAATTAACAACTAACAAGACCCCCTTAAATACATAGGGCTTGGGGCCCTTTAATGAATAAGCATGATATAATAGTTATTAAGTTCCAAGAAGTGTCATTTTTATCAATCACATGAATAGTATGAACATAATTAGGCAGTATGGAAATCTCTGAAAACTACAAACTAACAATATGCGTTGGTAATAAAAAAGAGCATATATGCGTAGGTATGTTGATGTAGAAAAGTCAAAAAGATGTTTTAGCGATGTGCCAAAAGGAAGTCCGTCTCTGCCTCTGGCTGACAGGCGTGAGTGTTTATGTTATGAAATTAAAACAATAAAGCGTAAAAGCAAAAAACAATGAAGATCATGGTTTTTTAGATTAATAATAAAATAGTAAAACTTTTCTAAAATTGACGACATCACACTGCACATTTTTTGCAACAAAGGTTAAATAATAAATCACAAAAACAAAATTGTAACAACGTAACCTAGTTCGGTGTAACGATGTACAGTTTTATTAGTTTTGTTTATATAAGACTTGAGATGTGAATGATCCAAGTACCATATCTATAGCTTAAATCATAGCTATAGTAATGTCTAATATTCTTCAATTGATTTATAAGAAAATTTGTTACATTATTTGATACTTACTAAAAGAACTTGAAACTGGTATAAAATATTATTACCTATATTAATTACATTTATAATATTATAATAATTATAATTGTAATATTAGTATATAATAGTTTATTGACTATCAAAATTTATAAGTTACAAATGAAATGTCAAAAAACGTAATAATTTTCTTTTGAATCAATATACGTATACTTGACTTATAATTGACGTACATTTCTAAAGCTATGATTAAAACACTGCTGCAATGTAGTTTGGCACCTGGTCAGATTCGTTTACTTATTTTTTTATCCGCTAAGCCGATTTAGCCCTGATGATCACTTGTATTTGGCCTCCTTCTTACATTTATGTTTTCGGCGGTATATTCATTACCTTAATCTACTTACCTAGTAAAAAGTAAGTATAAATTGTTGGCAGGATTTCTATTAATTTCATTTAGAAGCTCAATATTAGGTTCTGCTTCAAGATCAACAGTATGCATTACGCCATCGCCGTCAGGGAATTCAATAAATCGTTGATAATTTATAGCATTTTCTATTGTAGGCAGAGCTGTTGCAGTGTAAACTTAAATGAAAACAAAATTATGGTTAATAAAAAATATTGAAAAGTTCAACTAAAAACGAACTTATAACAAATAAAATAATATGTTTTAGTATTCATTTGTATTATACAAATTACTTTTTAGTAGAATACAATTAAATAGAATCATTTTTATTCAATATTGATTACATTTAATTGTTATTAAAAAACGTATCTTACTTTTAACACAAGTTCGGAAAAAAAGCTCTGTCCTGTTAAAGCCACTTATACGCTTAGGATAAAAAAGTAAGCCCTTGCCTTAAAATTTAGTATTAAGCAGGCATCGATCGATCTCCATCGGAATCAATGAAATTATTACTTGGAGATATTTTTAAATAATGTCTTACCAAGTTTAGTTCCAAGTGCTAAAGGAGACATCGTAAGGAAATTTGCATGACACATTATTAAGGAAAGCTCAGAGTTAAAAAAATCATACATGGGAAGTTCTACGCGTATTTGGTTGTAGCGTGTTAGACTTGGTATGAGAGGATCCCTGTACCTGATGGGATGTGTGTAATGTAGGATGATTCTTTACGTTTTCATTTATAGTTATCTTGTGAAGACACAATAATTTAAACATTGAATAAAGGAGACGGTTCAAATTTGTAAGACGCGTAGATATGGTTTTGTACAAGTATGGAAATAAATTAAAATAATATATTACACCACTTTTGGTCATTCAAATCCACGAATTTGCCTTTATTTCAGTGGTATTAATATTTTATTCTTGCCAAAAACTGCAACAACAATGGCGAATTGATGTAGTTGACTTCAATTCGCCATTGGTGTTGCAGTTTTTGGCTCATGAGGTTATTGATGCCTATAGTGATTCAAAATGTGATGATCTAAAGATGTCCGATATCAATGAAATTAAAATCTCACGTAATCATGACGTCCATAAAACAAAAGCCGAGTCAAACAAGTAATAACAGATCCAAGGTCCAAATAAAAAAAAGCAAATCGGCAAAACAATCCAAAATAAACACAACGAGTTCACAACTGCACGAATAAGATCGGAATGAACAAAATATCACACTACCTACATTATTTCATGACTCAGGTCACTTCTCAGACATGAAATTTGACATATAATTTTATGACTGGAAGGACGCCGTCTTGTAAAATCATCAAAAATTGGGATTGCAATTTTAGTTTTAGCAAGTCATTTAGTTTGATTTATTCTCTTATTTTATTTTTAATATAATCTCTGAATTTTTCGTTTTTACGGTATGGTATACATAGACTGGGCCTGAAATGAACCGTCTCCTTTGAAATAAAAACAATGGTTGTTTTCCTTATAATTGTGCTGAAGAAAATGTTTGTTTATTATTAACAACAAAATAATACTCGTAATATCTAATGAATACATTTATAATATTTGCTTGTATTCACTTCAATAGAATATGGTTATTTTCAAACAACCTGTATTTTAAATTAAACTTCTTCAAAGACATTTCATACACATTCAAAATATTTTTTTTATTTAAACTTTATCGCGTTTATTAATTTATTTGGTTTATTTATTAGTTACTTTCATCACGATTACATCAATAAGATAGTTTTGGTAGATATAATTTATTTGGAATGAAATTCAACATAATTTATTGAAAAATGAATGAAACAACATACCTGCAAAAGTCAATGCGAACAACAGTGCTACTTTCATTGTGCGAAATTTGCAGGTGGCTGGCAATATTTTTATCGATCTCTTATATTTATTAGGCAATTGTTATCTCTTAGGCTATTTTGTTATCGGATGTTGAATAAAACTATAATCTTGGATATCATTATAATCTTAGGATAATTATAGGATCTTGGATAACATTATTAATTGTACTTACGTAATGTGATGTGATTAAAAGAGTGTTTAATAATTATTTTTTCTACTATCTATTTATTCAATGTAAGTTAGCTTAAAAACAACTGAAATATAAAATATTTCCATATTTCTGCGTAATCACTTTAAACTTTAAGTTCCTAATTGTATTTTTCGATGTGGTATTTGAAGTCATTTATAGATTTTTCTTTATTTGAAGATATGTAATGTTATTAATATATATTATTCAATATTAATATTTTCATTTTATTCCAGAAGTGGCAGTAGATTGTCATAAGTTCATAACTAACTATTTAGAATTAGATATTAAAATTTTCTTTCCAAGATAATATTCATCGGTACTAATTACGTGTTAACTAAATACGGGTAAGTAAATTACTGGTTAACTATGTAGACGACTTTGCACTGGTGATACCTTATACACCGTCTGTGCCAATATTTAAAAAATATTGGCAAACTTGCGTCTGAAGTCGAGTATTTTCTGAACAAAGTCTCGGATTGGTGGTGACAAAATCTAGTCCAGTTCAATCCCCAGAAGACCGCTAAAAACCACTTTACAGCTAAAAAGAACCCCTTTGTCGTATCTCCTCAGTTTCGTGTCACTCCTTTGCTACGGCAGCTAACATCGGAATCCTCGGCGTTGACATATTGAATAGTGTGCAGTTTCGTGGTCACTTGGAGGGGAAGGACAAATTGGGCTCTAAAAAGCTTGTCATGCTCAGAAGAACTAGACAGTTTTTCATGCCGGCACATCGCTTGCAACTTTCCGAAGCGCAAGTTTGGCCTCATATGGGACACTGTTCTCATCTCTGGGCCAGGGTACTCCAGTGCCAGGTCCTTTCACTTGACCGCATCCAGCGCAGAGCGGTCCGAATCGTCAACGATCGAGTTCCTTCTGTTTAATTCGATTCACTGGCGCTGCGTAGGGATGTTGCATCCCTTTGCGTTTTCTATCGTATCTACCATGGGAAGTGTTCTGAGGAATTGTTCGGATTAATCCCAGCCGCCAAATTTCATGAACGCACATCGCGTCAAAATTCATGAAACAATCTTCACCATGGATGTTTGGCCGTCCACCAATGTCCGTTTAATGCTTTGGTCTCTTGATCGTAACGCACAACGCTGCGGTATGCGGCTCAAACACAGCGTCATGACGCAGCGTTTAGCATCTCTGCGGAGAAGTGTTCAGTTGATTTTGCCGCAGCTACCAAAGCAGACATGTAAACATGAACAATAGTTTTAAAATTTGTGCTTAGTTTGAGGAGGAGGAAGGAAGAAGTTTGTCTTTATTTTTATATAAAGAGGGATTATTGCGGATTAATTATATTAAATTATCTTCAAACAAATGCATCGTCAACCCGTGACGCACACCGCAGCGTCGCAACGAGAACGACGCCGCTCAGTGCGGAGTACCTGCTCCCCACTTGTCCGCGCTTGACACTTGGCCGAGGGTTGACAGTCGGAACAAGTTACAATGACGGTTCCGCACGTGTACTGAACAACTATTTTTAGTTGTGAAAAAATAAAGCAATTTAATAAAATAATAAAAACACAATAAACTCAACTAACTAATCATTTATTTCTTATAAAATTTTTAATTCACATATACATTGAAATTGGTACAGTTTCTTATACTAACTGGGGAAGTTTTGGGTTGCATATTTAATGTTTGAGACAACCTTATAATTTTTGGTATGATTGTTCATGTATATTTGTCAAAGTTGTTATACAATCGCGTTTGCTAATTGATGGAATTGGATCAGATGAATTATCATCGAAGGTAAATGGACGAACGTTCTCTTCAGTATTGTCATGTGAAGGAGACGGACTGGACTTTAAATTAATGGATTGTGTGATTTTTTCTTAGTTTCTAATTTGTTGTTTAATGAATCAGCAATATAGCCTTCTGCAACTTTATGTGACTTCCAACCTCCTAGTTGCTTTAAGCACGTCAAATTAGCTCCTGAATCTGCCAATAATATAGCAGAGGTCCTCCTGAAGCTGTGCCCAGTATAATAAGACTCAGCACAGCTGTACACTTCCCTTATTGATAATTTTGAAAAAAAAGGTCGGTTTTTGCTTTTTAGGACCGCTGATTTATATATTTTTGCACTATTGTAAGAAAATCTTCTTCAACAACAGAGCTTCTCGGTATCTTATTTTTTGTATTTGAAATCTTGATTAGTAACATTTCTCCATGGGCTTCAATACCTTTCAAAGTAATATTGGCTAACTCCTCTCTGCGGCAAGCTCTAACAACGCCAAAAATCAGCGCAACCTACAAAAAAGGGATTTGATTAATATTTTTTTAAATAATATATTGACTGTTTTTTTGTGATTTCATAAACTGAATACTAAAAAAAATATAAATATTTATTAATAAATTACCTTTGTGGCTAAACAACGATCATGGGGAGCTTCGTTCAAAAACCTTTCCACTTCATTTGATATTAATATTTTAGACTTTTTAGTAGTAAAATCGTCTGATTGTCGTTTTAAGAAAGGATTTAGTTTTGGGTATTCACTTATATACACGTTGTTCCTTATTTTCAGCATACTTTTTATCATCGAAAAAAAATTGGCTTTTTTTCTGAAAACTATTGGCTTTTCTCTCCAAGCAATAAATTCGTCATATGGAGATATGTAGCGACTTTTTGACTTTTCCGGTAAAATGTTCACCGAACCATTTTGTGCAATTAAACAATCAAACACCTAGATCGAGTTGAGACTGATTTATTCATATTTATCCTACACTATTACAATAATCTCTTACATCTCCCTTCTCAATAATAAGAAACAAAATCAAAATGGTAATTTACTCTTGCATATTTTATCACAAAAATAGTAAGATAATTTTACCCTAAATAGATTAGCAATAGATGTATGTATATAATAATATATATAGTTAATTATTCATATTAATAATACATCATTTTGAATTATATCTCTCTAACTACTCATCTTCCCCTATCTTACTAATAAGAAAAATCAATTATGAAATCAATAGCACTAAAATAAAATTTGAGTATGAAATGTTTATTTATTTTCTTAAATTAAATTATTAC